AAGGAAGGAAAAGGAAAGGAAAGGAAGGAAGGAAGGAAGGAAGGAAGGAAGGAAGGAAGAAAGAAAGAAAGAAAGAAAGAAAGAAAGAAAGAAAGAAAGAAAGAAAGAAAGAAAGAAGAAAGTGAAAAAAGAAAGTAACTGATATGCTAATTTCCATTGATTCTGAAGTAAGTATTTTGACTCATCCTTTGAATTACTTTTCCCCTGCAGAATGTGGATTGGAACAGAGAGTCCAGAATATGAATAGTATATTATTTAACAAGCATATAACTTGTAATTACATCAAATCATTATTTTTATGTGTTTGAAATAATTCACCTCTTGAAAACACCAGCCACAGCTTGGTCCAGAGAGCAAACAGTCTTCACAGTTCATGGCACTCCCTGAATCACAACTTCCTACATTACAAATCAAGGAAACATAATAGATTAGCTCATACTTTAATTATTCCAGGTACATAATGTTCTGGGCAGTGTTCTGACTTCCTAGAAGATAGCCTGTCAGAGAATTCAGTTTTACTCATTTGTTCAGAGGCCTTTAGTTATTAAAAAAGAGATTAAAACGATCGCTAAAATTGCAATAATTAAGAAAGAAACCTTGTTGAGCTATAGTTTTAACTAGAATCAATGTCATGTTTTATCCAAGATGTTAATTAGCATAAAGCAGCTTTTAATAATATGTTTATATTAATCACTGACCTGGTCCATCTACCTGACATTGAATCATTCTTCATAAAATCAGACCCAAGTCTTTGTAAAAAAAATTAAAGCATTTTTTCCTGCTACATTTCTTCAAGATATTTATCATAATTGCAGGGATCAGATACCGAATCACAAAATCATACATAATCTCACATGAACAATTAAACCCTCTAAGTTTGTATTCCATATATAAACTGAGCCTTACCTTGTACATTTTTATTCCTTTGTAGAAATAGGAAAAAGAGGCAAAGCAATTCAATCTCCATTCGCTTTCAGTTCTGGCTGCAGACACAAAATGTATCAAACATTAATTAAGCTCAGTAAAAAGAAAATTTCAGAAGCCATCGATGTACAGCTGAAAGTCTTCAGCTTATGGAAGTTTTCGAAGAAATCTCCTGTTAACTGAAGGCTACATTGGTGTAAACAAAGCAACAGAAAAAGTGGTACCTAGACAGGTAGCTGATAGATAGGCAAGCAGCATGGTTATGAAATTTAGCACAGCCCTTTATCCTACTTCCTGGTTGGCCTTATACGGAAGAGAGGTATACAGTGAAAAGAAGGTGGAGCAATTCTTGCAGGTAAAGTCCTGAATCTTTTCTTTTTTTTTTTTAAGTTTAGAGATTCATTTTACAGAGCTCCGAAAGATACATATCTGTTGCACAGAAATACTGGAACATAATATACTCGGTATTCTTACGTAGGCCTACTGTTTTTTTGAAGCTTAATATATTAGCTGAATTATCTGATTTCTTAGCTGAACTCCATTCTAGGGATTTCATTCTGAAAAGGAATCTAACTGTATGCAACCCTAATCTGCCATACAGTCATTTTAAATTTTAAGTTATAGAATCCTACCCAATTCTGTGTTATTTGCACATTTGATAGCCCTCCTTTCTACCTCATTGTGAAAGTCATTAACAAAAACGTGGAAAAATACTAAACCTAGGACCAAACACTGTTAAAAGAAAAACAATAGAATAGTGAAAGCACAAAACGTGCACACCTGAAAAAAAAAAAAAAGTGGAATTGTACAGGGGCTTAGCACCCATTGCGACCCAAGGCCTGGAGGAACAGCCAGGTTTCAAGAGACTTCTTGAACATCAGCAGGGTGGAGTCACATGAATCTCTGGGGGGATCCTGTTCTAGAGGGCAGGCATGTTCTCTGGGTCCTAAGAGATAACATTACTTAATCAAAGGATCATGGAGCATAGCCTCTTTGCCTGATTATGCAGGATGGGCAGTTGGAGACAGGCAGTCCTGCAGATAACCAGGTCCTATGCCATGGTTGTAACCAGCACCTTGAATTGCAACTGGAAGCCAACTGGCAACCCATGCAGCTTGTGGAGCAGCAGTGTCACCTAGGCATCCTGAGGCATGCCCACGACTGCTGCATTCTGGACTGCGGCTGTAGCTTCTGGGTGGTCTCAGAGGCAGCCCCATGTAGAGCGCATTGCAGCAGTCCACCCCCAAGGTGACAAGGGCATGAGTGGCCATTCTGAGAGCTTCCTAGAAGCTTTCCCTTTCTCCCTTTCTGTTTTTGTTAGGCTGTATGCACTCTTTCCTGCAGGAAAGCATATTTGGAGCAGTCTCTCTTTCTTTTCTAGCTAGAGTTAACGTGGCTTCCCCACCCCTCCTTGCCATACCTCCGTCAGAAGACTGCAAGTTATCAGCAATGTCTTTACTACCATTACTATATGACCTATAGGGTGTTTTTAAACCTTTTACAAGGGAGCAACAAGGGCAATCTATATGTTTTGTCCTTGAGGGGGACCTTGCTGACTCACCAGCTCACGTTTTACACAAAGACAGGATTCCTTGGGGCTCTGAAAACATTTCTCATGCTTTGGGGTTTGATAGCTGACAGATGCCACAGTCTTACACAGAAAAGAGAAACTGAACATGGGGGAGAGGGGCATTTCATGCTTTACTGGGGAAAATAAGCCACATGAACTTGAATTGCTTGTCAGAAAGCCCTACTCCTATTGTTCCTCCAGGAAACAGCGACTGGTTCACACCTGATGCTGCTAACAACTTTTTTCAGCCACAGTTTGCTGACTAAGCCATAATGTCTCATTCACACATAATGGCTAGTTTTATACATTGTATGAAGCAGCAAATTGTTTAGTACAACATGATTGTTCCTCTGGATTGAAATATAGGTACTGTTATAAAACCAACGTTCAGTTCTCTTTAGTCCAAGCTGCAGTGAAGGTAGAACCACTCACTTATAACCAGTAAAATGGGAATTGTAAAAAGACGTGGTTTGACACACACACACACTCAGAGAGTACATTTGTTAGAGGGGTCTTTCTGGTACACACAACACTTCCATGTTTATTTGCCTTCTTTTTGAGGGGGCATGGTGAAAATCTAGCAGCCCCCTCGTGATTATTCAGGAACTACTGGCCTATGTCAGGGCAATTCTACTGCAGCCTAAGCCCCTGGTCTCCTGCGCTGCTCCCTGCGTTTATTAAGCCAGCTTCAGAAATTCCAGCCCAGATTCCAATGGGATGGCAATGAGACTGGGCTGGTGTTCAGTACTGACTGTGGCTACCGAAGACTGGATGTGTTATTCCCCTGCTTCTCACCTTCCTATCCACGCAGGGAAGCCAAACCTTGTTGGCTGGCTTCTGTGCAGCTTTGGATACCTGTGTCTGCCTTCTTCTTTTAGGGAGTTTCACTAGTCCCTGTGCCTTTCCTTTGTTTTCCCAGGATTTTGCCTACAGGAATGTCTTATCAATCCCCTTTGACACTCGATGTAATGCAGACCCTTTCTATTTTTTCTCCCGCCCCCGGCATCATGTGGCTCTAATGCTACAGTAATCAAAGCAATAGGAAGCAGGATGTTCTTTCATTCCTACATTCCTCCCTAAGTCCATGGGAGCTTTGTAGCAAAGATGAACTGGTACTTCAGCTTCATAGAGTCAAAGTAGCAGTATTCCTATACTGCACCTGAAATATCTTGTTTAAAGATAGGAAAGAGAAAGAAAACTTGGCAGAACAAAGAGCAGGGAGTGGGAGAGCAAGGGAAGCATGCTTCACCCAGCCCGTGTAGAAACTGAAAAGGTTCCCAATGGGAGATGTCAGGGTTAAATGGAGCATGAACTTCTAAGGATGAGCATGTGGGCCATCGTTGGACCAATTGCAACATTTAAAAAATTGCAGAGAACAGAGCAGTCTGGCAGCCCAGGATGAAATGGCCGTATAGGACAGTGATTGGCAACTGGAAGGAAGGCGCTACAACTAATCTGAACTGGGGCTACTATTAAATGGAACAAAGTGCTGGAGACAAGTCCTTCCGAGTGGATGGGTCAGAAAACAGTAGTTTTGAATGGGACCTGGAAATTACAAAGGAAGGATGGATTTGCAGTGGGCTGGGAGGGGGAGGAGGAGGATGTCAAGAGTGGCACATACTGGTGATGGGCCAAGCAGAAAGTATGGATCTATCCAAAGTCTGTGAAAGCATGTTAAAAACAAGTATCCCTTTGCTTCTAAATAAATAAACAAACAAACAAACAAATAAATAAATAAATAAATATCTGTGCTGAACAGCATTAATGAGTCATACAATTAGTCCATTTTATCCAATTAGAATTACTGATTAGCAGAGTCTCCAAAGTCTCAACAAAATGTTTTCTGTCTTTGCCTATAGAGGCCAAGGATTGAACTTGATTTTCAACTTGTAAATGATCTACTCAACTTTTGAGTTATAGCCCCTCCTAGATCTCATGGCTGATCCATAAGCAAATACTACATACTTTTAAACTTAGCCAGAAGTGAATCCAATAATTGGTCTTAACATGTGAAGGATCACACTATTCTGAAAACTTCTTGATCTTCATCTCCCTTCCAAAAGATATCTGAAATAACATCCTGCTATTTCAACTCCTACTTTGTGTATTATACCAACCTCTAACAAATTCTTTAATCACAATTATTTTTTAAAAATTATCCATATCATATTAAACGTGCTCTCCCAGAATATTGCTCTTGACTCACCCATTGAGGCCTGAATAATCAGAGATGAGGGCCCACTGGATGACATGGCTCTCCATGCTTTAACAGGCTGGAAGTATCTGAATTTATAGAGTGAGTAGGAATGAGTCAGGGATAAGTGTCATGATAAGACTCATAGCTTATAGTGAAAGTCCCTTCAAAGCATCATCCATCAGTCTTGTCTAGTATTTGATCATTCATTTCTTCATCACTGATTATATTTGCACTCTATCATATATCCCAAGGCATAATGGTTCCCAGGCAATTCATAATCAAACAAAAATTCTGGGCAAATTACAACTTGAGCAAACAAACTTTTGCTCATCCAACAGGGCTTTCTGTTCCTCTTTTCCCCACTTCAGTTCCTACTTCCTGCAAATAAAAAAAAATATCACTCAATAGTTACAGTTCTGAATGAAAAGATCTTATTGGTTCTAAAGCATTCTAAGCTGGATTCATGATTGAATAAGGGTTCAGAACTGAAAATGAAGTGAAATCTCAGCCTAGGAACAATTAAGTCTACTGTTCATGTTAATTCTCCATCTAGGGAAGGCTTGCCAAGGATGGGCTAATAAATTTAGCATTCCAATTGCTTCCAATAGCAGATTGTCATATTAGAATTTTCCACCCATTACTGTATTCCTCACAAGGACGGGTGTGCCACAGTAAAAGAATCACTAATAGCGTCTTCTAACACATATCTATTTTCTTATAACCCGTGGAAAATGTCAAATTTGAGTGAGGAATCTGCTGCTTCAGGGATGGAGATAGGGGCTCCTCCAGACACTATTAGATTGCAGTTTTCATCATCATTGTCATCATGACCATCAATGAGAGATAACAGGAGATCCAGTTGAATATAATCTGGAAAGAAGCATTACTGCCTATAGATTATGTTGCTCCTAAAGATACAGGCTTAGTTTAAAAAAAAATCAGACACTATGCTGAGATTAAAAGAGAGATTGAAGAAAAGATTACTAGCTAAATGGGAGGAAAGGCTTTTTTTTTTATGTGAAAAATCAGAAACAATAAGATATTCCTTTGATAGGGACTTCTGCTCCTGTCTGTGGGTCAAATTACAAGCTTGATTGAATCTACTTTGCTAACAGTATGCCTATGCCACACATTTTCAGTATTAATGCAAAATTGCCCCAAGTTATATCTATAATTACTAAAAACAGCACAACAGCAAAAAGACAACATATTGCTCACAGCCAATCTGCCTATTACAAGTCAACACTCACAAAAAATATAAGAATCTGAAAAAGCAGACATCAGGTGTGAGATGAAACCAGGCAAAAATATATCCTCAAGGCATGTCTTTTTAAAGTATTTGATCTCCAGAGCTACCTGTGCCTTTCTTAACAAGCAGGATCTTGTTTTATTCATTGATTCAACACCATTTGAAGCAGCAGAATGTTGCACGTATTAAACTTCTAAAAAAGAATGTTTATTTGTTCAGATTCAAATTCCAATGTGAGAAAATTGAC